ATGAGAGTTAGTTGTTCACAGTAAAGAAACATTTCACTCATGATAGTATTAAAATTCCGAAGAATTCGAATTGCTAAGAAAAAAGAAAACACGATAAATGATAAGATGACAATTGGTAAGAAAATGAAGCCCCTTTCGGTGATGATTTTTTGCGTGCCGTTCATTTTCGAGAACTGCATCGATAGATACGACCGAGCAGTTAGATTAGAAAATGCCATAGGATCGTAGCTAAAACGACAGCCATAGATACCAGTCGCAACTCCCTTTATGCGGATGGAAGCATGATTAGAAGATGAAAATAACGATTGGATGTTGTTGTTGTTATCTTAATTATTCGTTCGTTAGTGCCAATTGAAGATGCCTATGGTTACTCTTAAATGATTTCCATCTCCTCATTATGCCTCTTTATATTGCTATTGCTAGTTTTTTTATTTATTTAGTTGCTCCGAAGTTCCTTCAATTGCTTATTTTGTTTCATCGAATTTGCACTACTTTGCAAAACGTTATGCTCTTCATAGTCATTTCAGTGATGGTACCATCCACATAGATTTTCTTACAAACGTTGTTATTGATTCGAGCGATATTTTTCTAAAATTTAGCTTCAAGCAGTATTTAAGAGACTGTGAGCTCGAATATGAAGCTTCTTCTCATGTCACTCTCAATTTCTTGGCATTCGTAAATAATGACCTCCATTTCGTCTAATTTGAGATTAATGCAACGCATAGCATTTCAGACCGATTTATTTGATTACCGCACTTCTACAGTAATTACCTTTTTCTATTTTTTTCTGGCTAAGCACTTTTCTTGGCGACTGCAGCCTCACACTTGTCCAGTCGCACTCATTCGTGTTCATTTGCATTTGGTGGAACTATTTAAAATCTAATTGTAAGAGATTCTCTTGAAATAGACATCATCAAATTCTCGTTCATTCAGATTTCAAAGTCATGAAAAATTTTTTGTTTTCATTTTCCATTAGGATAGTGGTCTTCCCGCTGTGGTGATCCATGCCCGCTTGTTGCCGCAAGGAGGAACGGCATTTTCTCATCTCAAGAAATGTAATTGACTGTCCTTCCCCTGCCCCATCAATCTTTCACTTGTAAGCCACACATAGAAAGGAAAGCAAGCAACTAACTATAACCTCGCATACAATCACGTGAAATATATCACGGTTAATCCATACTCTCGCATGAAATATAGCATGGTACGTTCGATAATGTTCGCTGTCAAGAATTCGTAGAGCTTAGCAAATAAGATGTGGTAACTCACTCAATTCTGTGCTAACGTCCTTAAGTCTCCCACAAGCAGGAATTTTCCCTCTTACAGGAACCATTGAAACAGCGAGCAGTTCGTTCTTGATATATTAGTAATGATCACTTTGTATAATACAATTTTCATCGTTTCGATTAACAATGTCATCGAATGACTTATCAAATGCTTCTTTGTTGATCTAATAAGATAGAAATTCAATCGATTAGACTGAGTGGATTGGTCATTGGAGCTATTGAATTGATTGAAGAGTTCATAATTTGAACATTCTGTTCGATTTTCCCTGCAAATTCTGCACAGGATAATCCCCAGAAATAATTCTCTGATGTGATTCGACAAATAGTTTGCATTGTTTCTATGTATGAATGTTCATGACCACTCTATCACACACAGAGACACAATTCCTAAATGATGTTCTCATCGTCAGTCAATGAAAACATGTCTCATTCAAATATTTCGATTGTCGCTTAATCCATTCTCTTTCTTGGAACATGTCACTCATTGGTGATACGCGGACGGGAAAATGACATAAATAAGATGCTGAAACTCCGAACAGTGCAACTGAATTTTCATTTTCAATCAGCGCAGACCTGACTTTTTTTCATTTCAATTTCTCGTTATCTTGCGGAATTCATTTCACGAGAAATTCTCATTGTGCACATGCATTTTCGCCAGTCATTGTCAGAGGAGACTTAGGGATTGGGAAAATTCCATTCGATTCTTTGATTCTCATTGAGTGTTCAATAGTAAATTTGATTGGATTTGCGAATGTAGGGATGCAGTGCGATGAAATAACGCACAATTAGTGGTGTGTGATTTGGAAAGGGTACGATTTCATGAAGTAGATTATTCCGCATTCGTTAATGGCTCAGTGAATCTTTTGAAAATCTGCGAGTGAAATTCTTTAATGGTTAATGATCTTTCGTGCATAGCGATATCTTGACCAGTATGTTTGTAAATTCAGCGTTCTCAAAAAACATACGTTTCCAATTTGGTTGCTTAACAACACAAATTTTATGTGCGTTTACAAACATTGCACAAAGGAAGTTATTATTGTTATTATGCGTTGGAAACATGACAGAGCCGTGCGTTTACGTTCTCTGTTGAACTACCACGATTCTATTCGAATAGCTTCTGCTTGATATAAGTTCTCTGATGTGGAGCAGAATCTCTCGTGGGTTTTTGAATATGCTCGATTTGAAGCAGCTATTATGCGAGCTCTAATCACGTTGTACTGAAGAATATGTCAATCATTGGGCATAGCAATTGCTCTGATTCGACATCATTATTTGAAATGCTTTTATTGTTTTATTTGAGTTAGTGCTAAGGTGATATTCAGTAATTCAGTGTTTTACTGAGGGTATTTTTCTTTTTTGAGTATCGTCGTGGGCAGACCAGTGAACGATTTAGATAATTCATAATAAATTGGAGCTAGCAATGTAGAATCATTATGAATTCTAGGATTGCATGCACAAGATGAAATGGAAAGCGATTGAGCAGGGAACATCTCGGGAGTAATTATGTTTTTTTATTTCCTTATCATAAGAGCACCATTCACGTTTACTGCGACGTAAACTTCAGCTAGTCTAGCCTTCTTCAGAGTCCTCTCCTTCGTTTATAATGCTCTTCGACCTGAAAACTTTCTAAAACGTAAGAATTTGAGCATCTCAATGAGATCTCTGATCGTTGACATGAATTCAACATCGGGTTTTTGCTGTAACATTAAAATGGATTTGAAGGCAGCAACTGCTATCATGTAACTCTAGCTTACGATCAGATTTTGTGTCCTGAACGTCATCGCCTTTGTAGTTCAACGTTTGAGCGATTCAGTTGTCAGTGATTTTCTGTGTTTTAGTTGACCGGATCGTATTTCATCAACAAATTCCCTTCACTTGAAGAAATATGAGTCAAAAAATTCCCAACCTTCACTTATTTTTATTCGCTGATTCGTATTCTTGCAAGTGAGGTCGCTGTGGATAGCATAAAAATGCATTTGTACGATAGTTGCAGTCGAAATCTTGCGTGTGGTATATGAGCAGCAAAATTTTGCGGTCCACTTATTAACGGTGGACGGTCCAACGAGTCGATTTCGACGGAAACTGTTCATTCACGTCACAGCTGGCAAAACTATCACCTTCTGCCTAAAGCATTCAAACTGCCACGGTATCTGAAATGCGATAGGTCATTGTATTTCGATGCGGAAATCTGCTTAACGGAAAACTGACGGAAATTTTAACCGATACTAAAACACACCTGACATTTCCAGTGATTCTTTTCAAATCCTAATGATTCCATTTTTTTCTAGTGATTCTTTTTAATCGAAAACGGAACGGGAAATAATCTTATCCGTCTTCAGGTATCTGTCATTTGTGTACCTCATCTCCAATTCTATCATTGTTTAAGCACCCGACTTTTCTAATGATTCTTTTCAAATCTCAGTGATTCCAGTTTTATCAGTGATTCTTTTCAATCGAAAACGGGACGGGAAATATCTTATCCGGCTGCAGATATCTATCATTTGTGTACCTCATCTCCAGTTCAAGTGTTTGTCTACATGTTGATGTCGTTATTCTGATGAATGCGCCATTTTTAAGTATATTCTGCCGAATTGTTTATTGCTCTTGTTTTTCAAGTAGCAATCACCATTGCGATGACCATAATGCTTAATATTGACGATGTTAGTATGATAACGGATAATAAAATGAACGTGTTAAACAATCTTCACTGCTTTCAGACGAAACGCAAACTGAGAAATATCCTGAATAAGCTTCGAACTGATGGAAATTGACTGAATGCAATATCGTTACAAACGAATTGATGTGAATTGTACTTTACTGTATTCGATTCAGATCCTTTCCAATGAATCTGCAATCAACTGATCTCAACACTGTAGCATTTGTCATTCATTTGATGGTGACGCTGGTCACTTGATGAATCTGTTTGCCATTTCCACCACCACCACATTCCCATTTTCCGCAAACGATCAAGAGCGCACCGTTCCGATTCATATAATCCAATTGAACATTCCGCTGCGGAAATTCCAGTGATTGATTTCGGTTCAGTTGAGCTTTCCAACTGTCCTGCCTTGCAGTGTTCTCAAATGTTTTAGAATCAATTGCAAATGCTGGATACCTTCTGATCTAATTGAGAGCCTTTCACGCAAACGTATTCTCCGGTTTCCTAACAATCTAAAGGAACTGAAAAGACGCTGGCGTGAGCTCAGCAATCCAAGTCTATCTGAACTCAACTAAAATTTTGACTTCATATCCGGTTTTCCCACATTCATCCGATCGGTCTATGATAAGTTCTCCATTCTAGTTCAGTAACTTGGAAAAAGCTGGATCAAGAACATTGAATCCCTTTACCTTATCAATCAGTACGAGTTATTCGCCGAGGATTTATTCAAGTCTGAAAGTGAGCAGCTGATAAGTGAAACCTCTCAGGCGATACAAGAAATCAAAAACGGACGACAACAAGAAGCAACGACACTGTAAGACAGTGAAACAAAATGACAGAACGGCAAAATGACGTGATTGTCGAGATTCTATTCGAACTTTAGCTTTGCTAAATCAGTCAAATTGTTTCGGAGTTTGCCATCCGTCAGCTGCTTCGCAACATCAAAATCGAGGAACAGAATCCGAAAGAAAAAGCACGGAAAAGTGTTGTGTAGCAAGGCAGAATCACCGACTAAAATACTATTATTGTTGTTTTACTTCTAATAAAACTCCAAAAAAATGTGGACAAAGACGAATAAATCTGTCGAGCCGTCTCTGTTCGTTGATCCCTCTACGGGGGCAGGCCATCTGGAGGTTGGCGGTTATTTCAAGTATCATCATTTGGCCACTCGACTTTCAGAAGTACCATCAGCTGCGTCCACCTCATCCTCGACCGGTAGTTGTGTGTCGTGGAAAGCGAACAGTGCTCGACGAAAACGCTTTGGTGAGTGTTAATTCGTCCTTTCACTTCTGTTTTTCTGCATTAGCTTAGCATGTTTTCAATTGTTTGGCTTGCATTTTTAGTTATGTCGATTTTTCAGTTTCTTGTTCGATCAGATTCAAACTGCTGCATGTGAAGCAGGTTCATGAGCTTGAAGTTCCGCTTCATTTGCCGTAATTGTAAAAAATCATCTTATTTCTCAGTATGCTTTAAGGAGTTTTTCTGTGACATGATCAGTTGTTAATGTTTCTTGTTCTGTGCTTGACGTTGTGTTTGTTGTTGAATGTTTGCACGGTGAAATGTTTTGCTGAATGTGTGGACGATATAATTTTTTGATATTAGGTGTAACGCTGGGCTTTGAGGATCCGATCTGTTCAGAGGGCGTGAGTTCAATTCCGCGTCGGTCCAAAATCTTTGACAAAAAGTTTGATCTCAAAGAGATAAACACACAAGAATACCTCAATTCAAGAGATATTCAAAAAAGGGCTTAGTTTCGACAGCGTTTTAACTGCAGTTACTGATCAGTTGTAAATCAGCTGAGTTTCTCTCCAGATCTGTCGTAACCATGAAGTGTCATTCTACCATCTTTTAATAAGTTGACGTTAGTTCCTACAAGATATCTTCCTTTAATCCTTCTGAGCAAAAAATCATGCGCGTTTGCAATCACTTTGTTAGTTATTTAATAGTCTGAACTCACCATACTGACTTCGAATATTTTTACTGCTGACGGAAAAGATTGCATTCGGGCATCTGGAAACATGTTGGTAACTTTTCCTTACTTAGTCAATCGTTAGCTTTCGGGATAAATTGTCTATGAATACGCCACACTAATGTTGCATTAGTGCCCATATAAAGATAGCTAGGCACTAATGGAGAAAAAAAAACTGGTCCTAAGTGTAGCACAATTGAAATGAGGTATCAATATCATTCCAATTGAATTTTTTAGTGTCATTATCGAATTTCATTCTTCTTTCATCGGTTTGCACTGGACGCAAATGGATGTTTCTATGAAACGTGAGCAAACAACTTT